CGGGGGCGCGCGGCGCGGGGCGGGCGGAACGAGGGCGCGCCATGGCCGCGGCAGGAGGCGCGGAGCCGGCGTGCTGAGCCCCGGCCGCCCGCCCGGCATGGGCGTCTCCCGCGGGCCCGCCGCCGGCCGGGGCTAGGGCCGGATGGAGCCGCGGGACGGCAGCCCCGAGGCCCGGAGCAGCGACTCGGAGTCGGCCTCCGCCTCGTCCAGCGGCTCCGAGCGCGACGCCGGTCCCGAGCCGGACAAGGCGCCACGGCGCCTCAACAAGCGGCGCTTCCCAGGGCTGCGGCTCTTCGGGCACAGGTGAGCGCGGCGGCGGCGGCGGCGGGGTGGGCATCGCGGTAGCGGGCGGATACCGCTCCTGGCACCGGCAGGCGTCCCTCGGCCGTCTCGGGACTGACACCGAGTGGAGGTCTCCCCCGGGCACCGGCGGTACGGACTGACTTGGGTTGGCTCCGCGTCAGGGTCATCCCTCAGCGTCCCGGTACTGGCACCGCACGGAGGTCTTTCCCAGGCACCGGCAGCTTAGCGTGCCTCCTCTGTGGTACCGAGGCAGGGTCAGCTTCCAACTTGCCTGCAGGGAGAGAGAAGCACCTAAGCCCCTTGGCACCAGCAGGTAGGGCCCTCATGGCCGGCCGCTCACCCCTTCTTGGCACTGAGAGAACAGGGCCCCCTCCGAGCCTCCTGGCCACAGTGAGGTGGGGGTCACGCCATCACCCTCCTCCCCTCCGCCCCCCGGGCCTCGGTGGGGCTGTTTGCCTACCATCACTGCATGACATCTGCAGAACATGGCCTCTGTTGATACTGTGACAACACATGGCTGTCCCAGAGCACTGGTTACTGAGCTAATTGCTCATCACTTTAAGTCTCTCCCTGGGATTGGGGGGTGCCTGGCCACCTGTGTTCTATATTGCTCTTAGTTGGTGGAGAGACCCCAGTCTCTACCTCTGCTAGGCAGTAGGCATCTCTCCCCCTACCCGCTTCCAGCCCTTGCTGGGAAAGGGATGGGGTGGGCTGCAGTCTGGAACGTGTGCTGGCTGTTCAAGCCCCAGCCTGCCCCCTCCACCGGCACACCAAATGTCATCAGCAAAGCCTGGGACAGGGCTTTGACCAGGACTCTGGTGAGGAGCTGGGGAGGGGTGTGGAAAGATTGAGTGCAGGCAGCTCATGGCATGTGTACCAGTGTTGGCTTGGAGCCGCTTCCAGCCATGCAGCCCTGGTGTAAGGTGAGGGAAGGTGGGGGCCCATGAGTATCCCACCTGGCTCCCTGGGCTTTTTCTTAACTGACTCCTGCCCTTCTCCAATGGCTGGGGAACTTGCAGCCAATTAGCTAAGGACCCCAGAGCCAACTCAGGCTGGACTCTGATCACTTGGAGCCTGCCCAAGGCCTCCCTCTCACTTTTCTTTGGTTGCCCAGGCTTCAAGGCATTCAGCACAACCCCCTCTCTCTGAGCTTTGCCCTGATCCTTCCCGGGGTAGACTTTACCCACCAATAATGTGGACAGTTTTCTCCTATTGTGCGGGTTGGCGTCCCTGTAATGCTGACCTATGCCCTCTGCCAGCCTTACCCTGGCCAGGGCCCTGTTCTTTGTATCTGTGTCACCAAGCACACCCAGAGATCAGGATTCTCACACTGGCAGATGGAGCTCTGTGGGCTCTTGTGAAGCCACACAGGCTTCAATGTCATATAAAACAGGGCAGGGAGCAAGGCTTTTCGTACCTCTGTTTTGTCACCCACAGCCCTGCAAGATGGAGCAGTTTACACCCAGCTCTGCAGGATGTAGTCTCCAGTTTTCGCAGGCTCCGGAGGGGGAGGGAGGGGCTCCACCAGAGGCTTCCTGTCCCTGCCCACAGGGTACCAAGCGTTGAGTTCTTGTGACCTGTGGCTGTGCCGGTTCTGAAGGGCACAGGTTTGTGCATGTAGAGGTGAACTTCAGGCACATTCAGGAGGAAGAACAAGAAGCAAGAAAATCAACAAATACTTTACATAATTCTCTAACATAAGCAGAACAGGTGTTATTTTTCCATTTTTATAGATGAGGAAAAACACGGGCTTAAGGAGATAAGTAGTTTGCCTAGAGTCACATAGCAAGTAAGAGGCAGAGATAGAGTTGTAACTCTAGTCCAGAACCCTTTCTCTATACCAGGTTCCTGAACAAAACATCACAATGACCTAGGGAGCTTTAGGAAATTCAGATTCCTAGATCTTATCCTTAGCACGCCTGACTCATCAGGTCTGGAGGTTGGGCCTGGGTGTTTTTTAAAGCTTCCCAAGTGTTTCTAATGTGCTACCAAGTTTGAGAACCACAGTATTACATCACTCTGGGGATGGTAAGTGATCTGATAGGCTGCTTAATAAGAAGGAAATCAAACAGCACCTCTGGAAGCATGTAAGGAGTGTCTCTGCATAGTAGCACTGTGCTGGGGGCACTGGGGCATTCAGAAATTAATGTATTTGGAAAACCAAGTAGAGTCAGGGAGAGGGCAGTGGAGGAAAAGACCTCCCTGATAGTCCTGGGAACTCCCGAGAATCAGATGCCCACTGAGGCTGACCCCCACCCCTTGCTTTGATTGGAGGGAGGGGGCAAACATTTGGAATAGTGCACTTGCCTTGGGCACTGCCCCTTTAATGTTTTTTATTTGGTCCAGCCACGTTCGCTGGTTGCCCATCTCAGGTAAAGGTCCCGGTGCCCCAGCTGAAGCCAGCGTCCCCGTCTTTTCCCTAGGCTCCGTGCTCATCCTTAACCAGGCTCTCGTGCTTCTCACTGGGTTTCCGCCCTCTGCATTCACCCTATCCTGTTCCCCTTCCATCCAGTCCACACCTTAGAGCTTGGGGCTGAGGGACCTGCTAAGTGAATTGTCAGTGGCTAGAAGGGAGGACCGAGGATAACAGATTGCTGGTGACTGCTAAAGCTGGGTTGGGAATTCTGCATTCGGATCTTGGCTCAGTGGTTGAGTTCTATAATCGGCACTCTGCTGTGGGCTTGGGAGGGGTAGTGGTGGTGTATGGGCCGCGTGTTCATCATTCCTGATCTGGTCAGGTACAACGGTCTCTGAATGACAGCCTCTTTTGCATCTTCCTTAATGAGGCTTGTCCTTGAAGCCCATCTCAGACCCCTACAACTGGCTTCACCCTCTTGAAACCTGGGGAGCAGTTAGAGTCCCTTCTCTTTCAGCGCAGTAAGACAAAAAGCTAGGCCATGATCCTCCCAAGCTCCATCCCACCTTATGGGTCCTTGCTGGGAACCATCAGCCCCTCCTGGAAGAGGAGGTTATAGGCCCTGCCCAAATCCCAGAGCATATGGGTTTTCTTCCCTCTGTTCTTACCCTTCAGATCCTATTGGCCTAAGGGCGGGGGTGTGGTCGGTCAGAAGTGAGAGGGAAGGTGACCCTGTCTCCTCCTCATGGCCCACCTGGAGAGAGGACTCACTTATCCTCTGGCTCCGTCCCAGCAGCCTGACCCAGGACAGGTCACGCAGCTTGTGGATTAACTGGTTTTGCACCCCAGGGGCATCAGAAATTACCTGGCACTTCACACACCTAGACGTAAAGGAGCCTGGGCCTACAGAGCCCCTGGGAGCCTGATCATTGGCTCTGCCAATGTCATTCATTCCCAGAGGGCAGGAAATGCACCTGTGGAACAAGTTTGAAACAATAGGTCCCATTCAGAGGTGATGCCGCATGGTCCAGAAGTCCAGACTGGTAGAGGGTGCCCATTGGGGTGCCTGAGCTGGAGTTTGGGTTGATTGTGCAGTGGTTGGGGAGGCACATGTTGAGGGATGCCTCATGCAGAGGCGAGAACCCCTGTCTGTGGCACCAGGATATCTGGGAGCAGAGGAACCTCTTTGAGTTGTTTGTCTTAGGCTGATGCTGGGAGTGGCCCAGGTGTCCAGAGGACCAGGTGCAAGCTAGGGTCCCTGGGTTCCTACCAGTTTGAGAAGAAAAAGGGACCCCAGTGGCTGAGCTGTGCATCAGTTCACCCCATTCTGCCCACCCACCATGCAACATTGTGTGCCATTGTGGATCCATCTGAGGTTGGGAACCAGGATAGGACTCTCACAGTCTTCCTCCGCTGCCACACACCCACCAGAGTCTCTCTGGCTTACAGGTCGGGGGAAGGGTTGGGCGACTCTTGTCATTTTGTCTCCTGCCATACTCCCAAAAGGTCAAATCTCAGGATACAGAGCCACCCAGCTGGCAAAAGAGAACAGGAGAGTGTGTGTCCTCCCAGGCAAGGACAGAGAAAGGACTGAGTGACCCTAGTCAAAGAAAGCCTAAGTCCTGGGCAGCTGGAGGTAGGGGAAAAAGAATCAGACTCTCCTCAGCTTCCTGGAGACCTCTCCAGAATTCACCAGTCATCCCCCAAGCAGAGGAGGAAGTGAGTGGGCATATTGGCCCTGAGGCTTGGCCTGTGCTGGGCTCTAGGTGAAGCAGGGGTTGGGTCCCTATATCCCTACGAAGGCAAGAGAGAATTTTAAGGTCCAGAAGCTGATGGGCAACTTGTCCTTGCAGTATTTCTGTAGCGACACAGGGGGGCGACAGCTACCATTGTGGAGAGGGTGGTGGGAGGGGAGATTCTCCTTCCAGCTAGTCCACTTGTACCAAACACCTGCTTTGGGTGGACCCACGGATACCTCCTACTGGCGAGTTACCTGCCACTCTGGCTGCCAGGGCCGAGCCAATCAGAATGAGGCAGAGGGCAGGCTAGGCGGGAGCTTTCACATCACCTGGCCCAACCCTCCCTCTCCCTAAAGATTGAGGCCTGGTGATGTGGCCTTGACTGGGCCAGAGTCTCACAGATAGCTAGGGGTTACCTGGGACTCCAACACTGGTCCCCTAACCCCTGTATCATGTCAATTTGTACCACAGCTCAGGACCCCAGAGTCTTCCTTGCTTTCTGAGGAATCCTCATCTGGTGCCTTCCAACCTGCCCTCCTCCCTTCCCCCTCTGCCTCTCCTTCTGGAGGCTGCCACTGCCACCTGAGCAGTTCTGTACGTCAGCATGGGAGGCAGTGTAGATGAGAAGAGGGAGCACCTGCCTCTAGGCTCACCAGCTCTCCTCGTTCCTGGGCGAGATTAGTGGGTGCACCTCTGGGTGCTACCAAGCACTCATTTCTTGCTCCCCAGAACTGCTTCCTCAGTTTCCTTTGTGGAGCCCCTGATACCCTTAGGTATCAGAACTGCCTCCATAGTTCTCAACATGGGACCCGCCTGGCATTCTAGTCACAGGTATGAGCCTTGGAAGGCAGTTCTGAGTGGGAAGAGTGGACAGAGCAGTGACCAGATGCCCTTGAGGAGCAGTC